GGGGTGCTGAGCCTGAGCGTGCGGAGCCTGGGGGTGCTGGGTCTGGGGGTGCTGAGCCTGAGCGTGCGGAGCCTGGGGGTGCTGCTTCTGGGGGTGCTGAGCCTGGGGTTGCTGGGAGTGGGGGTGTGGAGCCTGCCGGTGCTGGACCCGGTGGTCCTTCGGGTGCTTTGTCCCGGCGGGAGCTTCCCTCTCCACAGGAGCTGCGCGAGTGGTTTGCTCGGCGCTGGAACCGTGCTGCTGGAGCTGGAGGTGCTGCCGGTGCTGGAGTTTCTGCTGCTGCTGGAGGTACTGGAGCTGGAGGTGCTGCTGGAGCCGGTACTGGAGGTTCTGCTTCTGCTGGGGGTGCTGGTGCCACGGGTCCCGGAGGTGCTCGTACTGGAGGTACTGGAACTGCTGGGCCTGGTGGTGCTCCTGGTGCTGGAGCTACTGGTGGAGCTGGAGCTGGTGGTGCTGCTGGAGTGGGTGCTACTGGAGGTACTGGAGCCGGAGTGGCTGTGTCTGCTGGTGGTCCTGCTAGAGCTGGAGCTGCTGGAGGTACTGGAGCTGGTCGTGCTGCTGGAGTTGGAGCTGACGCTGGAGGTGCTGGTGTTGTCCCTGCTGGTTCTGGAGGTGCTGCGCGGCCGCGGCCGTACTTCGTTTCGCTCCTTGAGCAGGTTCTTGGTCTTCCGCCTTCTTCTAGTCCTGCTCCTTCCTTAGAGTGTCCTCCGCCTGTCCAGTCCGAGTCACAGTTACAGCTGGTCTCCCCTCTGCCTGCTCCTTCTCCCTACGCTGGTCCTGCTGGAGGTCTTGCTGAGCGTCGTGACCGTGCGTCGCGTCCTGCGTCGCCTGTTCGCACTGCTCGCACTAGTCGTCGTGTTCCACGTCCGCGTCCTCCTGCAGTCCCGGGCACGCATCAGATGGCACTGCGTCCTTCCACTGCGCCACAGCGTGTCCCTTTGCCATCTCCTCCAGAGTCCTCTCTTCCTGCTCTTGCTGACCCGGCGTCTGACTCCCTTTGTGCTGCCAGTCCTACTGTCACGCGTTTCCTAGCCACTGTTGTTACTGACCCTTCCTTTGATTCCACTGCTGCGTCTGCCTTAGTCCAACGTGAAGGTGTGCAAGGCCTGAGCAGGCGTAGTACCAGGGAGAGTACCAGACTCACTAGCACCTAGAGCAGCAGCAGCTATACCTGGGTCAGGCGACACACACCGGTAACAGTCACCCTCAGCACTAACAGACAAAGCATACATAGTAGAAACAATAGCATCAAAGTCTAGGTCAAAGATAGCAATCCTAGACCTAAGGAGATCAGCCCAGCGAGGGAGCTCGACGTCGTCACCAAACTCAGCACGCCAAGCGTCATCGAGGCGGGAGAAGCAGCGGTGCTGAGTGTGAAGCTTCCCGCATGTCTGACCAGCACGGTCACCCGTGCGAATGACATACGGGCAGCAGCCACTACCCCCAGACGCCCCACGCTGCAAAAACCACTCACGAAGCTGCTGGGGCGACTGGGTCTCGCTCCGACACTGCTGCTGCTGACTCTGACCACCTCCAAAACCTCCACGCAGAGCGCCAGTCCCACCGCCACCAGTCCCACCGCCGCCACTGCCGCCACTCCCACTGCTGCCTCCACCGCCGCCACCAACACCCCCACCCCTGCCACCACTCCCACCGCTGCCACCACCTCCACTGCCTCCACCACCTCCACTGCTGCCCCCACCACCACTCCCGCTGCCCCCTTCACCACCCTTGCTACTCTTGCCCTTGCTGCTGCGGCGCTTCGCACTAGCAGAAGCAGCTCCGACGTTCTCAGCACCAGGGACGTCTGCAGCAGCGGCAGAGGCGTAAGAGGGAGCAAGGGGGGAGGGGGAGCACCCCTCAAAGGAGGGCGGGCGCGGAGTGCCACGAGCAGCACCTACAGCAACTGCACTAGTCTCAGCTGTGAGGAGATGCTGCTCGAGGAGGTCAACAGTGAGGGAGGTGGGGTCAAGGGAGAGAAAGTGGTCCTTGACAGAGCGAAGAGAGTCAGGGAGGCGAGTGACTATGAATTAGAAGGTGATGAACATCGGGGGCTGGTTCCTCTCAAGGAACTCAGCAAGGACGGTAGCGAGGTAGCGAGGGTCGCTAGTGCGCAGGTGGGGAACCAGGTCCTCTACTGTGGCAAAGGCTGACAGCTCGGGGAACAGGTAGGGCAGAAGCAGGCGGCCTAGAGCAGCAGTGGCAGGCAAGGAGTAGCGGGCGACTACAGCAGCGTACAGTGCCTGGGCTGTCCTGTGCTGTCCAAAGTGGGCGCATTCGGTTAACGGCACGTGGTTGCGAATGGCTAAGCGGGCAGAAGCATCGCGAGTAAGCCACTGTGAGCGAGTCGCACTATCAGCTGTGGCGAGAGGGGTAGGAGAGGCGCCTGACGCAAGGTCAAACAGCGAAACACTGTTCTTAGAATCGCTCAATAGGTACAGCTGCAGGTCGTCGAGCCATGTGTCAAACTGAACCGGTCTGCCCTCATGATCGAACGCGAGAACCCTAAGCGAAGCCATAGCTGTGCAGCACGCAGGAGTAGCAGTAGTAGCAGTAGCAACAGCAGAAGCAGTAGCAGTAGCCGCAGTAGCAGCAGCAGCAGTAGCAGCTGTAGCAGTAGCAGTAGTAGTAGAGGGGCCAAGGGGCCGAGGGGCCAAACACGAAGGGGAGGGGGCCTAGGGGCCGAGGGGCCAAGGGGCCGAGGGGCGGGGCCGAGCCCGCTGCTAGGGGCGACGGGTCGCGGACCGCTAGGAGCCGAGGCTAGGGCGACAGGGCGATGGAAAGACGGGGCCGTGGCTAGGGGCGACGGGGCAAAGGGTCGCGAGGGGGCCGCGGCTAGGGCGACGGGGCCAAGGGGCCGCGGTTAGGGGCGACGGGGCCAAGGGGCCGAGGGTTGGGCGACGGGGCGACGGGTCGCTAGGGGCCGCGGCTAAGGGCGACAGGGCGATGGGGCGACGGGTCGCTAGGGGCCGCGGCTAGGGCGACGGGGCGACGGGGCCAAGGGGCCGCGGCTAGGGGCGACGGGTCGCTAGGGGCCGTGGCTAGGGCGACGGGGCGACGGGGCCAAGGGGCCGCGGCTAGGGGCGACGGGGCCAAGGGGCCGCGGCTAGGGGCGACGGGGCCAAGGGGCCGGGCTAGAGGCGACGGGTCGGGGCCTAGGAGGCCTACGGGTCGCGAGGGTGGCTAGCAGAGCACCAGGTGGTGGGCCCAAAAAAAAAAACGGTCCTAGAAGGGACCTGCTCTGATACCATGTCAAAGTAACGAACGAGAATGAATGAACTAGCCAAGAGTTGGGTACAACTACTAACCCTAATTGGGTTGTACCCCTTATGGGCTACCCCACTACAGCCTACACAATGTAAGCTATATATAAGTTTGACACTGGTGTCACACACACACGGGGGGAGCGATGAGGTGAGGCGAGACGAGGTGAGGTGAGGTGAGGTAAATATTTTACCAGGAGCGAGTGGATAAGACGGGATTGACGGGGCGGGTGGAGTGAGAGTCACCTGCAATAGATATGGGAAAACGAGTCGAGAACAAGCTCGACTCGGATCTTTCTACTTGATCGATGCAAGCCAGAACGAGTCGATCAACACTCTACTGGTTAAATGCTCATTGACTGGCTTGCACTGCACTGCACTGCACCGCACCGCACCGCACCGCACGGCACTGCACTGCACAGCACTGCACTACACCGCCTGGTGCTGCATGGGCATTGGGAGACGGAGGAGGGGGCTTGCAGCTTAATGCATGTGACATGCTATGCATAAGCAAATTGACAAACATCGGTTCGGTTCGTCTTGAACCGGTCAAGCGGTTCAAAACGAGCCGGATTCATAGATACCGGTGGTTAGCCTAGTTGCAATTCCACTTACATAACACAATGCCACCTTCAGATAATGCAATGACCCTTACAAAATCCAACGCCATTTACATTAAGAAATGCCACTTGCATAATTAACAGTGTACATTTCTGCACATTTCTGTGATAACAATGCCACTTACATAAAAAGCACTGTACATTGCTGTGCAATTATGTAATTGCAATGCCACTTACATATTAAACAGTGTACATTGCTGTACATTTCTGTGATTGCAATGCCACTTACATAATTAACAGTGTACATTGCTGTACACTTGGAGAAAGCACGGCTGGTGACGTTGACCAGGGTGCCAGCAGAAATGGGAGCTCGACACTGGAAGCCCTGGTATCAGAGAATGGTATCAGAGCATGGTATCAGAGCATGATATCAGAGAATGGTATCAGAGCATGGTATCAGAGAATGGTATCCGAGCATGGTATCAGAGAATGGGCAGTTGAGAGCAGGGTTAAAAAAAAAGAACGTATTTTGGAATTTTACCATAAAAAACAGTACCGTAAAAATGGAGCTGTGCCGTGCCGTCCCATGCTATGCCGTGATGTGTTGTGATGCGATATGTTATATATGATATGCAATGTGAGATCGCCTTCCTCACCTTGATGTGATATGAGATCGCCTTCCTCACCTTGATGTGATGTGAGATCGCCTTCCTCACCTTGATGTGACGTGAGATCGCCTTCCTCACCTTGATGTGACGTGATATCTTGATGTGATGTGAGATCGCCTTCCTCACCTTGATGTGATGTGAGATCGCCTTCCTCACCTTGATGTGATGTGAGATCGCCTTCCTCACCTTGATGTGATGTGAGATCGCCTTCCTCACCTTGATGTGATGTGAGATCGCCTTCCTCACCTTGATGTGATGTGAGATCGCCTTCCTCACCTTGTTGTGATGTGGGATCGCCTTCCTCACCTTGTTGTGATGTGGGATCGCCTTCCTCACCTTGATGTGATGTGAGATCGCCTTCCTCACCTTGATGTGATGTGAGATCGCCTTCCTCACCTTGATGTGATGTGAGATCGCCTTCCTCACCTTGATGTGATGTGAGATCGCCTTCCTCACCTTGATGTGATGTGAGATCGCCTTCCTCACCTTGATGTGATGTGAGATCGCCTTCCTCACCTTGATGGATGTGAGATCGCCTTCCTCACCTTGTTGTGATGTGAGATCGCCTTCCTCACCTTGATGTGATGTGAGATCGCCTTCCTCACCTTGATGTGATGTGAGATCGCCTTCCTCACCTTGATGTGATGTGAGATCGCCCTCCTCACCTTGATGTGATGTGAGATCGCCCTCCTCACCTTGATGTGACGTGAGATCGCCTTCCTCACCTTGATGTGACGTGAGATCGCCTTCCTCACCTTGATGTGACGTGAGATCGCCTTCCTCACCTTGATGTGACGTGAGATCGCCTTCCTCACCTTGATGTGACGTGAGATCGCCTTCCTCACCTTGATGTGACGTGAGATCGCCTTCCTCACCTTGATGTGACGTGAGATCGCCTTCCTCACCTTGATGTGACGTGAGATCGCCTTCCTCACCTTGATGTGACGTGAGATCGCCTTCCTCACCTTGATGTGACGTGAGATCGCCTTCCTCACCTTGATGTGACGTGAGATCGCCTTCCTCACCTTGATGTGAGGTGAGATCGCCTTCCTCACCTTGATGTGAGGTGAGATCGCCTTCCTCACCTTGATGTGATGTGAGATCGCCTTCCTCACCTTGATGTGATGTGAGATCGCCTTCCTCACCTTGATGTGATGTGAGATCGCCCTCCTCACCTTGATGGATGTGAGATCGCCTTCCTCACCTTGTTGTGATGTGAGATCGCCTTCCTCACCTTGATGTGATGTGAGATCGCCTTCCTCACCTTGATGTGATGTGAGATCGCCTTCCTCACCTTGATGTGATGTGAGATCGCCCTCCTCACCTTGATGTGATGTGAGATCGCCCTCCTCACCTTGATGTGACGTGAGATCCCCTTCCTCACCTTGATGTGACGTGAGATCGCCTTCCTCACCTTGATGTGACGTGAGATCGCCTTCCTCACCTTGATGTGACGTGAGATCGCCTTCCTCACCTTGATGTGACGTGAGATCGCCTTCCTCACCTTGATGTGACGTGAGATCGCCTTCCTCACCTTGATGTGACGTGAGATCGCCTTCCTCACCTTGATGTGACGTGAGATCGCCTTCCTCACCTTGATGTGACGTGAGATCGCCTTCCTCACCTTGATGTGAGGTGAGATCGCCTTCCTCACCTTGATGTGACGTGAGATCGCCTTCCTCACCTTGATGTGACGTGAGATCGCCTTCCTCACCTTGATGTGAGGTGAGATCGCCTTCCTCACCTTGATGTGACGTGAGATCGCCTTCCTCACCTTGATGTGACGTGAGATCGCCTTCCTCACCTTGATGTGACGTGAGATCGCCTTCCTCACCTTGATGTGATGTGAGATCGCCTTCCTCACCTTGATGTGATGTGGGATCGCCTTCCTCACCTTGATGTGACGTGAGATCGCCTTCCTCACCTTGATGTGAGGTGAGATCGCCTTCCTCACCTTGATGTGACGTGAGATCGCCTTCCTCACCTTGATGTGACGTGAGATCGCCTTCCTCACCTTGATGTGATGTGAGATCGCCTTCCTCACCTTGATGTGATGTGAGATCGCCTTCCTCACCTTGATGTGATGTGGGATCGCCTTCCTCACCTTGATGTGATGTGAGATCGCCTTCCTCACCTTGATGTGACGTGAGATCGCCTTCCTCACCTTGATGTGACGTGAGATCGCCTTCCTCACCTTGATGTGACGTGAGATCGCCTTCCTCACCTTGATGTGACGTGAGATCGCCTTCCTCACCTTGATGTGACGTGAGATCGCCTTCCTCACCTTGATGTGACGTGAGATCGCCTTCCTCACCTTGCTGTGACGTGAGATCGCCTTCCTCACCTTGATGTGACGTGAGATCGCCTTCCTCACCTTGATGTGACGTGAGATCGCCTTCCTCACCTTGATGTGAGGTGAGATCGCCTTCCTCACCTTGATGTGACGTGAGATCGCCTTCCTCACCTTGATGTGACGTGAGATCGCCTTCCTCACCTTGATGTGACGTGAGATCGCCTTCCTCACCTTGATGTGATGTGAGATCGCCTTCCTCACCTTGATGTGATGTGGGATCGCCTTCCTCACCTTGATGTGACGTGAGATCGCCTTCCTCACCTTGATGTGAGGTGAGATCGCCTTCCTCACCTTGATGTGACGTGAGATCGCCTTCCTCACCTTGATGTGACGTGAGATCGCCTTCCTCACCTTGATGTGATGTGAGATCGCCTTCCTCACCTTGATGTGATGTGAGATCGCCTTCCTCACCTTGATGTGATGTGGGATCGCCTTCCTCACCTTGATGTGATGTGAGATCGCCTTCCTCACCTTGATGTGACGTGAGATCGCCTTCCTCACCTTGATGTGACGTGAGATCGCCTTCCTCACCTTGATGTGACGTGAGATCGCCTTCCTCACCTTGATGTGACGTGAGATCGCCTTCCTCACCTTGATGTGACGTGAGATCGCCTTCCTCACCTTGATGTGAGGTGAGATCGCCTTCCTCACCTTGATGTGACGTGAGATCGCCTTCCTCACCTTGATGTGACGTGAGATCGCCTTCCTCACCTTGATGTGAGGTGAGATCGCCTTCCTCACCTTGATGTGACGTGAGATCGCCTTCCTCACCTTGATGTGACGTGAGATCGCCTTCCTCACCTTGATGTGACGTGAGATCGCCTTCCTCACCTTGATGTGATGTGAGATCGCCTTCCTCACCTTGATGTGATGTGGGATCGCCTTCCTCACCTTGATGTGACGTGAGATCGCCTTCCTCACCTTGATGTGAGGTGAGATCGCCTTCCTCACCTTGATGTGACGTGAGATCGCCTTCCTCACCTTGATGTGACGTGAGATCGCCTTCCTCACCTTGATGTGATGTGAGATCGCCTTCCTCACCTTGATGTGATGTGAGATCGCCTTCCTCACCTTGATGTGATGTGGGATCGCCTTCCTCACCTTGATGTGATGTGAGATCGCCTTCCTCACCTTGATGTGACGTGAGATCGCCTTCCTCACCTTGATGTGACGTGAGATCGCCTTCCTCACCTTGATGTGACGTGAGATCGCCTTCCTCACCTTGATGTGACGTGAGATCGCCTTCCTCACCTTGATGTGACGTGAGATCGCCTTCCTCACCTTGATGTGACGTGAGATCGCCTTCCTCACCTTGATGTGACGTGAGATCGCCTTCCTCACCTTGATGTGATGTGAGATCGCCTTCCTCACCTTGATGTGATGTGAGATCGCCTTCCTCACCTTGATGTGATGTGAGATCGCCTTCCTCACCTTGATGTGATGTGAGATCGCCCTCCTCACCTTGATGGATGTGAGATCGCCTTCCTCACCTTGTTGTGATGTGAGATCGCCTTCCTCACCTTGATGTGATGTGAGATCGCCTTCCTCACCTTGATGTGATGTGAGATCGCCTTCCTCACCTTGATGTGATGTGAGATCGCCCTCCTCACCTTGATGTGATGTGAGATCGCCCTCCTCACCTTGATGTGACGTGAGATCCCCTTCCTCACCTTGATGTGACGTGAGATCGCCTTCCTCACCTTGATGTGACGTGAGATCGCCTTCCTCACCTTGATGTGACGTGAGATCGCCTTCCTCACCTTGATGTGACGTGAGATCGCCTTCCTCACCTTGATGTGACGTGAGATCGCCTTCCTCACCTTGATGTGACGTGAGATCGCCTTCCTCACCTTGATGTGACGTGAGATCGCCTTCCTCACCTTGATGTGACGTGAGATCGCCTTCCTCACCTTGATGTGACGTGAGATCGCCTTCCTCACCTTGATGTGACGTGAGATCGCCTTCCTCACCTTGATGTGACGTGAGATCGCCTTCCTCACCTTGATGTGACGTGAGATCGCCTTCCTCACCTTGATGTGACGTGAGATCGCCTTCCTCACCTTGATGTGACGTGAGATCGCCTTCCTCACCTTGATGTGACGTGAGATCGCCTTCCTCACCTTGATGTGACGTGAGATCGCCTTCCTCACCTTGATGTGACGTGAGATCGCCTTCCTCACCTTGATGTGACGTGAGATCGCCTTCCTCACCTTGATGTGACGTGAGATCGCCTTCCTCACCTTGATGTGACGTGAGATCGCCTTCCTCACCTTGATGTGACGTGAGATCGCCTTCCTCACCTTGATGTGACGTGAGATCGCCTTCCTCACCTTGCTGTGACGTGAGATCGCCTTCCTCACCTTGATGTGACGTGAGATCACCTTCCTCACCTTGATGTGAGGTGAGATCGTCTTCCTCACCTTGATGTGATGTGAGATCGCCTTCCTCACCTTGATGTGATGTGAGATCGCCTTCCTAACCTTGATGTGATGTGAGATCGCCTTCCTCACCTTGATGTGATGTGAGATCGCCCTCCTCACCTTGATGTGATGTGAGATCGCCTTCCTCACCTTGATGTGACGTGAGATCGCCTTCCTCACCTTGATGTGACGTGAGATCGCCTTCCTAACCTTGATGTGATGTGAGATCGCCCTCCTCACCTTGATGTGATGTGAGATCGCCCTCCTCACCTTGATGTGACGTGAGATCGCCCTCCTCACCTTGATGTGACGTGAGATCGCCTTCCTCACCTTGATGTGACGTGAGATCGCCTTCCTCACCTTGATGTGAGGTGAGATCGCCTTCCTCACCTTGATGTGAGGTGAGATCGCCTTCCTCACCTTGATGTGATGTGAGATCGCCTTCCTCACCTTGATGTGATGTGAGATCGCCTTCCTCACCTTGATGTGATGTGAGATCGCCTTCCTCACCTTGATGTGATGTGAGATCGCCCTCCTCACCTTGATGTGATGTGAGATCGCCCTCCTCACCTTGATGTGACGTGAGATCCCCTTCCTCACCTTGATGTGACGTGAGATCGCCTTCCTCACCTTGATGTGACGTGAGATCGCCTTCCTCACCTTGATGTGACGTGAGATCGCCTTCCTCACCTTGATGTGACGTGAGATCGCCTTCCTCACCTTGATGTGACGTGAGATCGCCTTCCTCACCTTGATGTGACGTGAGATCGCCTTCCTCACCTTGATGTGACGTGAGATCGCCTTCCTCACCTTGATGTGACGTGAGATCGCCTTCCTCACCTTGATGTGACGTGAGATCGCCTTCCTCACCTTGATGTGACGTGAGATCGCCTTCCTCACCTTGATGTGACGTGAGATCGCCTTCCTCACCTTGATGTGACGTGAGATCGCCTTCCTCACCTTGATGTGACGTGAGATCGCCTTCCTCACCTTGATGTGACGTGAGATCGCCTTCCTCACCTTGATGTGACGTGAGATCGCCTTCCTCACCTTGATGTGACGTGAGATCGCCTTCCTCACCTTGATGTGACGTGAGATCGCCTTCCTCACCTTGATGTGACGTGAGATCGCCTTCCTCACCTTGATGTGACGTGAGATCGCCTTCCTCACCTTGATGTGACGTGAGATCGCCTTCCTCACCTTGATGTGACGTGAGATCGCCTTCCTCACCTTGATGTGACGTGAGATCGCCTTCCTCACCTTGCTGTGACGTGAGATCGCCTTCCTCACCTTGATGTGACGTGAGATCACCTTCCTCACCTTGATGTGAGGTGAGATCGTCTTCCTCACCTTGATGTGATGTGAGATCGCCTTCCTCACCTTGATGTGATGTGAGATCGCCTTCCTAACCTTGATGTGATGTGAGATCGCCTTCCTCACCTTGATGTGATGTGAGATCGCCCTCCTCACCTTGATGTGATGTGAGATCGCCTTCCTCACCTTGATGTGACGTGAGATCGCCTTCCTCACCTTGATGTGACGTGAGATCGCCTTCCTAACCTTGATGTGATGTGAGATCGCCCTCCTCACCTTGATGTGATGTGAGATCGCCCTCCTCACCTTGATGTGACGTGAGATCGCCCTCCTCACCTTGATGTGACGTGAGATCGCCTTCCTCACCTTGATGTGACGTGAGATCGCCTTCCTCACCTTGATGTGAGGTGAGATCGCCTTCCTCACCTTGATGTGAGGTGAGATCGCCTTCCTCACCTTGATGTGATGTGAGATCGCCTTCCTCACCTTGATGTGATGTGAGATCGCCTTCCTCACCTTGATGTGATGTGAGATCGCCTTCCTCACCTTGATGGATGTGAGATCGCCTTCCTCACCTTGTTGTGATGTGAGATCGCCTTCCTCACCTTGATGTGACGTGAGATCGCCTTCCTCACCTTGATGTGATGTGAGATCGCCTTCCTCACCTTGATGTGATGTGAGATCGCCCTCCTCACCTTGATGTGATGTGAGATCGCCCTCCTCACCTTGATGTGATGTGAGATCGCCTTCCTCACCTTGATGTGACGTGAGATCGCCTTCCTCACCTTGATGTGACGTGAGATCGCCTTCCTCACCTTGATGTGACGTGAGATCGCCTTCCTCACCTTGATGTGACGTGAGATCGCCTTCCTCACCTTGATGTGACGTGAGATCGCCTTCCTCACCTTGATGTGACGTGAGATCGCCTTCCTCACCTTGATGTGACGTGAGATCGCCTTCCTCACCTTGATGTGACGTGAGATCGCCTTCCTCACCTTGCTGTGACGTGAGATCGCCTTCCTCACCTTGATGTGACGTGAGATCGCCTTCCTCACCTTGATGTGAGGTGAGATCGTCTTCCTCACCTTGATGTGATGTGAGATCGCCTTCCTCACCTTGATGTGATGTGAGATCGCCTTCCTAACCTTGATGTGATGTGAGATCGCCCTCCTCACCTTGATGTGATGTGAGATCGCCCTCCTCACCTTGATGTGATGTGAGATCGCCTTCCTCACCTTGATGTGACGTGAGATCGCCTTCCTCACCTTGATGTGACGTGAGATCGCCTTCCTAACCTTGATGTGATGTGAGATCGCCCTCCTCACCTTGATGTGATGTGAGATCGCCCTCCTCACCTTGATGTGACGTGAGATCGCCTTCCTCACCTTGATGTGACGTGAGATCGCCTTCCTCACCTTGATGTGACGTGAGATCGCCTTCCTCACCTTGATGTGACGTGAGATCGCCTTCCTCACCTTGATGTGACGTGAGATCGCCTTCCTCACCTTGATGTGACTTGAGATCGCCTTCCTCACCTTGATGTGACGTGAGATCGCCTTCCTCACCTTGATGTGACGTGAGATCGCCTTCCTCACCTTGATGTGACGTGAGATCGCCTTCCTCACCTTGATGTGACGTGAGATCGCCTTCCTCACCTTGATGTGACGTGAGATCGCCTTCCTCACCTTGATGTGACGTGAGATCGCCTTCCTCACCTTGATGTGAGGTGAGATCGCCTTCCTCACCTTGATGTGATGTGAGATCGCCTTCCTCACCTTGATGTGATGTGAGATCGCCTTCCTCACCTTGATGTGATGTGAGATCGCCTTCCTCACCTTGATGGATGTGAGATCGCCTTCCTCACCTTGTTGTGATGTGAGATCGCCTTCCTCACCTTGATGTGACGTGAGATCGCCTTCCTCACCTTGATGTGACGTGAGATCGCCTTCCTCACCTTGATGTGATGTGAGATCGCCCTCCTCACCTTGATGTGATGTGAGATCGCCCTCCTCACCTTGATGTGATGTGAGATCGCCTTCCTCACCTTGATGTGACGTGAGATCGCCTTCCTCACCTTGATGTGACGTGAGGTCGCCTTCCTCACCTTGATGTGACGTGAGATCGCCTTCCTCACCTTGATGTGACGTGAGATCGCCTTCCTCACCTTGATGTGACGTGAGATCGCCTTCCTCACCTTGATGTGACGTGAGATCGCCTTCCTCACCTTGATGTGACGTGAGATCGCCTTCCTCACCTTGATGTGACGTGAGATCGCCTTCCTCACCTTGATGTGACGTGAGATCGCCTTCCTCACCTTGATGTGACGTGAGATCGCCTTCCTCACCTTGATGTGACGTGAGATCGCCTTCCTCACCTTGATGTGACGTGAGATCGCCTTCCTCACCTTGATGTGACGTGAGATCGCCTTCCTCACCTTGATGTGACGTGAGATCGCCTTCCTCACCTTGATGTGACGTGAGATCGCCTTCCTCACCTTGATGTGACGTGAGATCGCCTTCCTCACCTTGATGTGACGTGAGATCGCCTTCCTCACCTTGATGTGACGTGAGATCGCCTTCCTCACCTTGATGTGAAGTGAGATCGCCTTCCTCACCTTGATGTGAAGTGAGATCGCCTTCCTCACCTTGATGTGATGTGAGATCGCCTTCCTCACCTTGATGTGATGTGGGATCGCCTTCCTCACCTTGATGTGATGTGGGATCGCCTTCCTCACCTTGATGTGATGTGAGATCGCCTTCCTCACCTTGATGTGATGTGAGATCGCCTTCCTCACCTTGATGTGATGTGAGATCGCCTTCCTCACCTTGATGGATGTGAGATCGCCTTCCTCACCTTGTTGTGATGTGAGATCGCCTTCCTCACCTTGATGTGATGTGAGATCGCCCTCCTCACCTTGATGTGATGTGAGATCGCCCTCCTCACCTTGATGTGACGTGAGATCGCCTTCCTCACCTTGATGTGACGTGAGATCGCCTTCCTCACCTTGATGTGACGTGAGATCGCCTTCCTCACCTTGATGTGACGTGAGATCGCCTTCCTCACCTTGATGTGACGTGAGATCGCCTTCCTCACCTTGATGTGACGTGAGATACCTGATGTGACGTGAGATCGCCTTCCTCACCTTGATGTGACGTGAGATCGCCTTCCTCACCTTGATGTGACGTGAGATCGCCTTCCTCACCTTGATGTGACGTGAGATCGCCTTCCTCACCTTGATGTGACGTGAGATCGCCTTCCTCACCTTGATGTGACGTGAGATCGCCTTCCTCACCTTGATGTGACGTGAGATCGCCTTCCTCACCTTGATGTGACGTGAGATCGCCTTCCTCACCTTGATGTGACGTGAGATCGCCTTCCTCACCTTGATGTGACGTGAGATCGCCTTCCTCACCTTGATGTGACGTGAGATCGCCTTCCTCACCTTGATGTGACGTGAGATCGCCTTTCTCACCTTGATGTGACGTGAGATCGCCTTCTTCACCTTGATGTGACGTGAGATCGCCTTCCTCACCTTGATGTGACGTGAGATCGCCTTCCTCACCTTGATGTGACGTGAGATCGCCTTCCTCACCTTGATGTGAAGTGAGATCGCCTTCCTCACCTTGATGGGATGTGAGATCGCCTTCCTCACCTTCATGTGATGTGAGATCGCCTTCCTCACCTTGATGTGATGTGGGATCGCCTTCCTCACCTTGATGTGATGTGAGATCGCCTTCCTCACCTTGATGTGATGTGAGATCGCCTTCCTCACCTTGATGTGATGTGAGATTGCCTTCCTCACCTTGATGGATGTGAGATCGCCTTCCTCACCTTGTTGTGATGTGAGATCGCCTTCCTCACCTTGATGTGATGTGAGATCGCCTTCCTCACCTTGATGTGATGTGAGATCGCCTTCCTCACCTTGATGTGATGTGAGATCGCCCTCCTCACCTTGATGTGATGTGAGATCGCCCTCCTCACCTTGATGTGACGTGAGATCGCCTTCCTCACCTTGATGTGACGTGAGATCGCCTTCCTCACCTTGATGTGACGTGAGATCGCCTTCCTCACCTTGATGTGACGTGAGATCGCCTTCCTCACCTTGATGTGACGTGAGATCGCCTTCCTCACCTTGATGTGACGTGAGATCGCCTTCCTCACCTTGATGTGACGTGAGATCGCCTTCCTCACCTTGATGTGACGTGAGATCGCCTTCCTCACCTTGATGTGACGTGAGATCGCCTTCCTCACCTTGATGTGACGTGAGATCGCCTTCCTCACCTTGATGTGACGTGAGATCGCCTTCGTCACCTTGATGTGACGTGAGATCGCCTTCCTCACCTTGATGTGACGTGAGATCGCCTTCCTCACCTTGATGTGACGTGAGATCGCCTTCCTCACCTTGATGTGACGTGAGATCGCCTTCCTCACCTTGATGTGACGTGAGATCGCCTTCCTCACCTTGATGTGACGTGAGATCGCCTTCCTCACCTTGATGTGACGTGAGATCGCCTTCCTCACCTTGATGTGACGTGAGATCGCCTTCCTCACCTTGATGTGACGTGAGATCGCCTTCCTCACCTTGATGTGACGTGAGATCGCCTTCCTCACCTTGATGTGACGTGAGATCGCCTTCCTCACCTTGATGTGACGTGAGATCGCCTTCCTCACCTTGATGTGACGTGAGATCGCCTTCCTCACCTTGATGTGACGTGAGATCGCGTTCCTCACCTTGATGTGACGTGAGATCGCCTTCCTCACCTTGATGTGACGTGAGATCGCCTTCCTCACCTTGATGTGATGTGAGATCGCCTTCCTCACCTTGATGGATGTGAGATCGCCTTCCTCACCTTGTTGTGATGTGAGATCGCCTTCCTCACCTTGATGTGATGTGAGATCGCCCTCCTCACCTTGATGTGATGTGAGATCGCCCTCCTCACCTTGATGTGACGTGAGATCGCCTTCCTCACCTTGATGTGACGTGAGATCGCCTTCCTCACCTTGATGTGACGTGAGATCGCCTTCCTCACCTTGATGTGACGTGAGATCGCCTTCCTCACCTTGATGTGACGTGAGATCGCCTTCCTCACCTTGATGTGACGTGAGATCGCCTTCCTCACCTTGATGTGACGTGAGATCGCCTTCCTCACCTTGATGTGACGTGAGATCGCCTTCCTCACCTTGATGTGACGTGAGATCGCCTTCCTCACCTTGATGTGACGTGAGATCGCCTTCCTCACCTTGATGTGACGTGAGATCGCCTTCCTCACCTTGATGTGACGTGAGATCGCCTTCCTCACCTTGATGTGACGTGAGATCGCCTTCCTCACCTTGATGTGACGTGAGATCGCCTTCCTCACCTTGATGTGACGTGAGATCGCCTTCCTCACCTTGATGTGACGTGAGATCGCCTTTCTCACCTTGATGTGACGTGAGATCGCCTTCCTCACCTTGATGTGACGTGAGATCGCCTTCCTCACCTTGATGTGACGTGAGATCGCCTTCCTCACCTTGATGTGACGTGAGATCGCCTTCCTCACCTTGATGTGAAGTGAGATCGCCTTCCTCACCTTGATGTGATGTGAGATCGCCTTCCTCACCTTGATGTGATGTGAGATCGCCTTCCTCACCTTGATGTGATGTGGGATCGCCTTCCTCACCTTGATGTGATGTGAGATCGCCTTCCTCACCTTGATGTGATGTGAGATCGCCTTCCTCACCTTGATGTGATGTGAGATTGCCTTCCTCACCTTGATGGATGTGAGATCGCCTTCCTCACCTTGTTGTGATGTGAGATCGCCTTCCTCACCTTGATGTGATGTGAGATCGCCTTCCTCACCTTGATGTGATGTGAGATCGCCTTCCTCACCTTGATGTGATGTGAGATCGCCCTCCTCACCTTGATGTGATGTGAGATCGCCCTCCTCACCTTGATGTGACGTGAGATCGCCTTCCTCACCTTGATGTGACGTGAGATCGCCTTCCTCACCTTGATGTGACGTGAGATCGCCTTCCTCACCTTGATGTGACGTGAGATCGCCTTCCTCACCTTGATGTGACGTGAGATCGCCTTCCTCACCTTGATGTGACGTGAGATCGCCTTCCTCACCTTGATGTGACGTGAGATCGCCTTCCTCACCTTGATGTGACGTGAGATCGCCTTCCTCACCTTGATGTGACGTGAGATCGCCTTCCTCACCTTGATGTGACGTGAGATCGCCTTCCTCACCTTGATGTGACGTGAGATCGCCTTCCTCACCTTGATGTGACGTGAGATCGCCTTCCTCACCTTGATGTGACGTGAGATCGCCTTCCTCACCTTGATGTGACGTGAGATCGCCTTCCTCACCTTGATGTGACGTGAGATCGCCTTCCTCACCTTGATGTGACGTGAGATCGCGTTCCTCACCTTGATGTGACGTGAGATCGCCTTCCTCACCTTGATGTGACGTGAGATCGCCTTCCTCACCTTGATGTGACGTGAGATCGCCTTCCTCACCTTGATGTGACGTGAGATCGCCTTCCTCACCTTGATGTGACGTGAGATCGCCTTCCTCACCTTGATGTGACGTGAGATCGCCTTCCTCACCTTGATGTGACGTGAGATCGCCTTCCTCACCTTGATGTGACGTGAGATCGCCTTCCTCACCTTGATGTGACGTGAGATCGCCTTCCTCACCTTGATGTGACGTGAGATCGCCTTCCTCACCTTGATGTGACGTGAGATCGCCTTCCTCACCTTGATGTGACGTGAGATCGCCTTCCTCACCTTGATGTGACGTGAGATCGCCTTCCTCACCTTGATGTGACGTGAGATCGCCTTCCTCACCTTGATGTGACGTGAGATCGCCTTCCTCACCTTGATGTGATGTGAGATCGCCTTCCTCACCTTGATGTGACGTGAGATCGCCTTCCTCACCTTGATGTGATGTGAGATCGCCTTCCTCACCTTGATGTGACGTGAGATCGCCTTCCTCACCTTGATGTGACGTGAGATCGCCTTCCTCACCTTGATGTGACGTGAGATCGCCTTCCTCACCTTGATGTGACGTGAGATCGCCTTCCTCACCTTGATGTGACGTGAGATCGCCTTCCTCACCTTGATGTGACGTGAGATCGCCTTCCTCACCTTGATGTGACGTGAGATCGCCTTCCTCACCTTGATGTGACGTGAGATCGCCTTCCTCACCTTGATGTGACGTGAGATCGCCTTCCTCACCTTGATGTGACGTGAGATCGCCTTCCTCACCTTGATGTGACGTGAGATCGCCTTCCTCACCTTGATGTGACGTGAGATCGCCTTCCTCACCTTGATGTGACGTGAGATCGCCTTCCTCACCTTGATGTGACGTGAGATCGCCTTCCTCACCTTGATGTGACGTGAGATCGCCTTCCTCACCTTGATGTGACGTGAGATCGCCTTCCTCACCTTGATGTGACGTGAGATCGCCTTCCTCACCTTGATGTGAAGTGAGATCGCCTTCCTCACCTTGATGTGATGTGAGATCGCCTTCCTCACCTTGATGTGATGTGAGATCGCCTTCCTCACCTTGATGTGATGTGATGTGGGATCGCCTTCCTCACCTTGATGTGATGTGAGATCGCCTTCCTCACCTTGATGTGATGTGAGATCGCCTTCCTCACCTTGATGTGATGTGAGATCGCCTTCCTCACCTTGATGGATGTGAGATCGCCTTCCTCACCTTGTTGTGATGTGAGATCGCCTTCCTCACCTTGATGTGATGTGAGATCGCCTTCCTCACCTTGATGTGATGTGAGATCGCCTTCCTCACCTTGATGTGATGTGAGATCGCCCTCCTCACCTTGATGTGATGTGAGATCGCCCTCCTCACCTTGATGTGACGTGAGATCGCCTTCCTCACCTTGATGTGACGTGAGATCGCCTTCCTCACCTTGATGTGACGTGAGATCGCCTTCCTCACCTTGATGTGACGTGAGATCGCCTTCCTCACCTTGATGTGACGTGAGATCGCCTTCCTCACCTTGATGTGACGTGAGATCGCCTTCCTCACCTTGATGTGACGTGAGATCGCCTTCCTCACCTTGATGTGACGTGAGATCGCCTTCCTCACCTTGATGTGACGTGAGATCGCCTTCCTCACCTTGATGTGACGTGAGATCGCCTTCCTCACCTTGATGTGACGTGAGATCGCCTTCCTCACCTTGATGTGACGTGAGATCGCCTTCCTCACCTTGATGTGACGTGAGATCGCCTTCCTCACCTTGATGTGACGTGAGATCGCCTTCCTCACCTTGATGTGACGTGAGATCGCCTTCCTCACCTTGATGTGACGTGAGATCGCCTTCCTCACCTTGATGTGACGTGAGATCGCCTTCCTCACCTTGATGTGACGTGAGATCGCCTTCCTCACCTTGATGTGACGTGAGATCGCCTTCCTCACCTTGATGTGACGTGAGATCGCCTTCCTCACCTTGATGTGACGTGAGATCGCCTTCCTCACCTTGATGTGACGTGAGATCGCCTTCCTCACCTTGATGTGACGTGAGATCGCCTTCCTCACCTTGATGTGACGTGAGATCGCCTTCCTCACCTTGATGTGACGTGAGATCGCCTTCCTCACCTTGATGTGACGTGAGATCGCCTTCCTCACCTTGATGTGACGTGAGATCGCCTTCCTCACCTTGATGTGACGTGAGATCGCCTTCCTCACCTTGATGTGACGTGAGATCGCCTTCCTCACCTTGATGTGACGTGAGATCGCCTTCCTCACCTTGATGTGAAGTGAGATCGCCTTCCTCACCTTGATGTGATGTGAGATCGCCTTCCTCACCTTGATGTGATGTGAGATCGCCTTCCTCACCTTGATGTGATGTGGGATCGCCTTCCTCACCTTCCTCAAAGCTGAGCCTCATGCTGCCCTTCACAACAGGGGGTTTGTACCACCTAATCAGCATCTCCTTGCTGCTCCCGTTATAGTCAACCCTCATCTGCCACACCTCATCCGGCTCCATCGGATAATCCACTTTCTTTGCGAAGATCGACGTCATGTTAAAATCAGTGGTAACGCCAACATGTATAGTATTTACATTGCCCATTTCTTGGTTTGCTACAGTGTCCCATTCCACAGCTACACTCCGCGCGCCGTCCGGCCAGCTGCCATTAGCGAGTCGCGAGGATGGGTCCCGGCCGTACCCCATATAAGCCCCACCTTGACTTACGGTCGCGTGTGTGCTTATAACGAATGCGAGCCCATGGGATGCGGATGTATTCATGGAAAAGCCGTATGTGAAGGTGAAGGAGCAAGCCTTGCAAAAAAAAGGCTCGGTGGCTGTAGGTTGGGAAGGTGGGGAGGAGGAAGGAGAGGAACGGGGGGAGCTGCGAGGACGAGCAAAGGGAGGAGGAGGGAAGGGAGGGGAGGAGGAGGAGTAGAGGAGGGGGAGACGGCGAGGGAGAAAGAGGGCTCCACAAGCGGGATCTTCTGATTTGCCGGTGGATGATGCCACATCAGCAGCGACAGAGAGATCGGCGGCGAAGAAGCGTTTCCTGGTGCTGCCACGTGTCAGCAAGGGAGTGGCTGGTGTGATGTAGGGGAAGGAGAATGAGTCTGCCGCCCAAAACGGAAGTGGATCCTCCACTGCTAGGGTTGGTGTGACACAGAGGGAAAGGGATGGATGGAGAGGGTGGGGTGTGTGGGTGGAGGGGGGGTGAAAAACGTGGGGTGTGTGGGGGGTTCGGGGGAAATCTTGTTAAGGTGCTTTACTCCTAGGTAGGGTGTGGACTGTGGGGCCATGGTAGGAAGGTTCCATGAGCTTCACCCATCCTCGTCATACCAAGGACCACTGGCAGATGGACACAAGAAGTGTGATGGTGAAGGAAGATGGACACTGGAAGTGTGATGGTGAAGGAAGTTGGACAATGGAAGTGTGATGGTGAAGGAAGATGAACACTGGAAGTGTGATGGTGAAGGAAGATGAACACTGGAAGTGTGATGGTGAAGGAAGATCAGCACTGGAAGTGTAATGGTGAAGGAAGATGAACACTGGAATGGAAGTGTGATGGTGAAGGAAGATGAACACTGGAAGTGTGATGGTGAAGGAAGATGAACACTGGAAGTGTAATGGTGAAGGAACATGAACACTGGAAGTGTGATGGTGAAGGAAGATGAACACTGGAAGTGTGATGGTGAAGGAAGATGAACACTGGAAGTGTGATGGTGAAGGAAGACGAACACTGGAAGTGTGATGGATAAGCAGGTTGTTTTTAAGAATTCTCATAAACACCCTGCAACTCCATGAGCTCCACGCCTCCTCGGTGTGTGATACCAAGGAACACTGGCAGATGAACACTGGAAGTGTGTGATGGTGAAGGAAGATGAACACTGAAGTGTGTGATGGTAAGGAACCGAGGGGATGGAAGGGAAATGCTGCGGTCCGTTCAGCACAGGCATTTAGGGAATGGAAGGGTAAATTCTGAGCCGCCTTGAATATATGGTGATACAGAACCGACGAGATCTTGAGAAACAGTTCATTTGAGGCGCCTCAAAAGTCGTCTCAAAATATCAGGCGCCTCAAAAGGTTATGTGATTGTCTAGTTTTGAGGCGCGTCAAACACTAGAAGCATCAAAAACTGATTGTGATTATGTGATTGAGCGGTGTGAGTAGCAGGTGAAAGAGACACCACTCACCCTCCCCTACTTGAAACGTTCACCCCAGCACCTCTTAAGGTCACTCAAACAACTCACCCTCCCCGACGTCAAACCTCCACCCCAGCAACTCATGCACCTCCCACAACTCACCCTCCCTTGTTTCAAACCTCCACCCCAGCACCTCGTGCGCCTGAGCCTGCTCCACCCCCTTGCCCGTGGCCGCTGTGAATCCCACAAACAGCGACGGGGGGGGGGCGCTGCTGCCTCCAGGTCGTTCCCCCCCAGCCACTCGCAGGTGTCCAGGAATGTGGTCAGCACGGCCGAGCGCGGGAGAGGGGGGGCGGAGGGGGAGGAGGAGGAAGAGGAACGAAAGGAGGAGGAGGGGGAGGGAGAGCGAGAGAACCGGGGGAAACCAGGGAAGCAAGGAAAGCGACAGGAGGAGCGAGGGGTGGGGGGGGGAGGGGAGGAGGTGCTAGAGACTAAGGACGGAGTCTATGAAGATTAGGGGCTGAAATATCTCAAAATCGTCAACTACAATTCTGGACAGAAAAGTCGTCGTCACAAGAAACGTCGTCAACGATTAACGCACAGTTATAATTCTCTCAAACTCGAGTATGTTGTAGCCCTTGACTGTGGCCATCTTTATCAATGTGAATAGTATCAAAATATGGAGTATAACTCGAGTTATGAACTTCGGCGCACTAGGGGGTATGCTGCCATAGAAAACGTAACTCAATCACAATGATCTCACAAGTTCACACAAGAAAGTTAGAGTGGCAGTAGAACCAGGTAGGAGGGGATGAGGAGGACGAGAGAGAAGGTCCCAAGGGAGTCCCCAACCAAGGAAACCCCATTCCACACAATTCCCCTCTCTATAGGCACCCCAACTTTGACATTTGTCACTTTCCCAACTCATGCCATCCACCTCACCCAACTTGGCCACACTTGCCAACCTGGTTTGGCTTCTACCAACCACTTTGCATCATCTACAGTGATGGTATCGAATTTCCCAACCCCCAAAAGTCTGTACCCCATATTGAGTCAACCCGCAAATTCCTATAGTCGCCGCATCTCAATCAAAACTTCGAACGATCATATCTTTCTCGTTCTTGCTTCGATCGCAGCGATTTTCGGTTCGTCGGGAAGCTCTTGAGCAGAGGAGTCACTTCAGATATCTGCTCAAGCCAAATAACATTCACACACACTCTCAGAAAATCCAAACAACACCAAACACAAATTCTTGCACACGCTCACACCACGCATGCAACACACGAACATATGATGGGAGGCAGACAGACGTGAATGCAAATGATAGCATCACATAACAGGAGGAGGGGGCAGGGGAGAGCCAGACGGTGAGGTGGGAGGAGGAGGTGTTGTAGTGGATGGTGGCGAGGAGGGTCTGACCGGCGTTGAGGGAGGGAATGCCGAGGGAGTGCACGGGGGCAGAGGCAAGAGAGAGCATGCTGCCGTGCAGGTTCACCCCCACGTGGTGGTCGGGGCGGTCGAAAAAATCAGGAGAAGAGGATGTGTCGAATTCCACTGCCATGCTCTTGTGCTGCTGGGGGTGTGTGTGGGGGCAGCAGGAGGGGGAGCAGGAGGGGGAGCAGGGGAGTGGGTAGAAGAGCAGCAGAGAAGGAGAGAATGAGAGCACGAGAGCAAGGCAGGAAGAGTTAAGACAGACAATGAACAGGGAAGACGAAGCTAGAAGACGAACAACAAAACCACAACAAACGCCATCCCATTACTGCCTATCCCTGCCCCGCCCCATTGGGTGTGCGGATGCGGAACGCTAAGGAACTGTACCTGAGATGACACGTACGTGAGATGACACGTACCTGAGATGACATGTACCTGAGATGACATGTACCTGAGATGACACGTACCTGAGATGACATGTACCTGAGATTACATGTACCTGAGATGACACGTACCTGATATGACACGTACCTGAGATGACATGTACCTGAGATGACATGTGCCTGAAATGGAACACGACTGGTACTGATGAGATGCGCGTACCTGTGAGTCATCAGCACCGGTCGTGCTCCCTGGGGGCAGCAGCAGGCGGCCGTACCCCAGGGAGGGCCCCGGCAAGCCAAGAGTGGGAGACGGCAGCATCACAAACGCCAAGCCCTCGCCGCCCAGCCCGGCGGCATTGGGGGAGGAGATGCAGAAGGTGAAGGAGGTGGAGAAGGAGAAGGGGCGGCAGGGGGAGGAGGGCATGGCGGGGGCGAGCAGGGCGAAGGGGGCGAGGTGCATCGCAAGGGAGGCAGCGTTAAGGTCGGAGAGCGTGGTGAGGGAGAGGGACGAGGGGTTGCGTCGGGTTGAGCCGGCTGTGAGAAGCGGGTGGGAGCTGGAGAGCGGCCAGTGGGTGAAGGACTTGAGGGGGGAGAGGTCGGCTGCAGGGCAGGGAAGTGGGGAAGGCGTGGGGGGGGGGGGGACGAGGGGAGGGAGGCGGGAGGAAGTGGGAGAAGGACTTGAGAGGGGAGGGGTCGGCTGCAGGGCGGTGGTAGTGATGGGGAGTGGAAGGGGGAGGAAGAGTGGGCGCAGACGTGAAATGAGGAATCGATGAACAGAGCACATGAGTCGGGGGTTGAAACTTGGACGTTGAGCAGCATGTGTGCAACAAACGCTGTCAATGCGCAGCGCAACGCATGCATTCTACCATCATGCCTGTGACACACCAGTTACCGTGTTAACCATTTCTGACTTTCTGACTCACTGCGAGTGGGCATGATAGATGCAAGGTCGATAGAAGTGCTCCCCGCCCCACTTCCAACGCCACACCCACTCACTCAACTGAGCCATCCGCCCGTCCGCAATGTCTCGCCAACCGCTTGTCTGCACCTACCCCCCCCTCTCACTCACCTGGGGCTCTATCCCTCCCCACCTCGCCCACCCTGCATCCACCTGTTCCTCTCTCACTCACTGCGAGTGGGCATGACAGACATAAGGTCGATAGCAGTGGTCCCCGCTTCTGAAGCCACTCCCTCTCTCTTCACCCCCACCTTCGCTCCTGCTCCTGCTCCCCTTCCCGTACTCGCAGCAACAGTGAATTCGGCTGCTCCCGGTCTTGTTCCCACACCCTCCGCTGCCGCTGCCGCAGTGTGGGCTACCCCACCAGCTGCTTGCACTGTACGTGCTACTGCAACCCATGATTCCCCCACACCCTTCACTGCCGCTGCCATAGTGTGAGATGCAGTCTCTGCACCAGCTTCTTGCACTGCGGGTGCTGCAGCTACCGCTGCTGCTACTACTGCTGCTGCTGCCCCTGATCCTGCTGCTCTCGCGCGCACAGATCTCCGGAACCGTCGTGGCCCCCAGACCCGCCTGAGTGAGGGGAGGGGTAGTGTGGGGAAGCGGAGAAGCCTTTCCAGGGCGGATGCAGCGCGGGTAAGGTGGGGGTGTAGTGCGGATCGGATTAGGAGGCCCATGGAGGAGGAAATGGTGAAGCCGCTGGCCCCCCTACTATCAACAATGGCCTTGCTGCTGCTGCTGCTGCTGCCGCCGCTACCGCCGCCACCGCCCCCGCTGCCGCCGCCACTACTGCTGCTGCTGCTGCTGCCACCGCCGCCGCCGCCGCCGCTGCTGTTGGTTGTGCTGGTGCTGCTGGCGCCGATGCTACCACTGTCACTGCTGGCAAATACGCTGCTAGTGGCGTCGCGGCTGGAGGTGGCGACGGTGGCAGTGCTGCTTCTGCTGCTGCTGCTGCTACTGCTGCTTTGCACGCCTCAAATCATCAAATGCAGCGCCACTCCCTCAGGAGGAACTACCAACGAGGAAGGGGAAGAGGCGAAGGAGGAAGAAGAGGAGGGAAGAGGAGGGGGAAGAGGAGGGGTCCCAGAGTCGAGCGTGAACGACAGAGACGCAACCTGGGTGGTCGAACCTGTGCAAGCTACGCTAGCAGGGAAAGCACTAGCAACCTCTACAGCACCTAAGCTAGACAAACAAGAGTTATAACCAGAATTCTCAACACTAGAGTCATCAGCATACATCACAGAGGCAGATCGCAAAGCATGGTCTAGGTCTACTGCATACATGTCAAACATCCGCGGACCAACGGTGTGGGCAAGCAAGCGCCAGTCAGGGGGGGTGCGACCAAGGCTGAAGTGTGCGCGGTAGTGGTCTGTAAGCTGCGCAAAGCACTTACCCAAAGGATGGAGGCGGCCACAGGGGCCGTCTTGACGTGACCCTGTCTGAACCAAGTACTGGTAGGGAGTCAAGGCTGGACCTCGCGATGACCTGCTGGATGGGCCACTGCTACGGGCACTGCTCCCTGGTCTGGCCGACCTCCACTGCTGCTGCGGGGGCCACTGCTGAACCTGCTGCTGCTGGCCCTGGAGCTGCTGCTGCCATGGCTGCTGCTGCTGCTGCCATGGCTGCTGCTGCTGGGGCTGCTGCTGCTATGACTGCTACTGTGACTGCGGCTGCTACTGTAGCTGGTGCTGGGGCTCCACACTCCCCGAGCCAGGACCCCACCTCCACTACCACCAGAACCGCCACCTCCTCCACTCCCTCCACCTCCTCCACCACCACCCCCTCTGCCACTCCCACCGCCACCACCACCTCCTCCTTTATTGCCGCCCTTCTTACCCCCCTTGTTGCCAGAGGCAACAGCTGCCACCTCTGTTGCAGTAGCAACAGAGGACGAGGCCACAGCGGAGGCAAGGAAGGACAGGGCACACCCCTCAAAGATAGGGGGGAGGACAGCACCAGCAGTGGCAGCAAGGGACCGAGCAGGACCCTCTACTGCGAGGAGCTGCTCCTCAAAAAGGTCAATGGTGAGGGTCGGTGGATCAACAGTGAGAATGTGATCATGAACGGTTTTGAATCGGTCAGGGAGGCGGGAGGCTAGGAGGTACAGGGTCATGTACATTGGGGGGGGGGGTTTCTTGGCGAGCAAGGCAGGGTCAACAAACGCAGCACGGAATTGAGCAAGGGAACGCAAGTGTAGGATCAGATCAGCCACCCTAGCGAACGACGGGAGATCAAGAAAGATAAAGGGGAGGATATGGCGTCCTAGAGTCACAGTGACCGGTGTGGAATAGCGAGTGAGCACAGCTTTCATTAGTGTGTGGGCCGTCTCCTCTTGCGCAAAGTGTTCCTGCTCGGTCGGCGGCAGAAAGGCAGTGATTGCAAGGATGGTTGCATTGTCACGCGCAGCCCAGCGCCTAAGCTCAGTACGACGCTGGGCATAGACAGTCTCGTTATCTGTTGACGCATCGTCACCTAGTGGAGCGGGAGTGGGGGGGGGCTTTCAGCTCACCAGCGGCATGCTCGGAAAGAGGGATATCATTCTCAAGACAGCTGCCGAGGTAGAGCTTGAGCTTCCTCAGCCATGCCGGGAAACCGACAGGGCGCCCCTCAGGGTCCAACTCCAAAACAGTCGCCATAGCAGTTTGAGGCGCCTAGGGCAAGAGAGAGGCCCCCTATGCAGTTGGGTAAGACTAGGGATGGACGAGTGCGGCTAAGAGCAGCCTGGTGCAGTTGAGTGCGGTTCTGGTGCAGTTGAGAGAGGTCTAGAGCGTGGGGGCCGGTTTGGTGCGGTTGATTGCGGTGAAGGGCAGTTGGGAGTGGTCTAATGCGGTGAAGGGCGGTTTCTCGCCGCTGGAAGTGGTCTAGTGCGAGTGAGAGGCGGATCTGATGATGTTGAGAGCGGTTCAACGGTTTTGGAGCGGTTGAGGGAGGTTGAAAGGGGTGGAGAACGGTTGTGGCAGCTGTTAGGGTTTGCTGAGCTAGAGAGAGGCGGTAGGGAGCCGCGGTGGACAGTGAACGGGCGGAAATGAGGGGGGGAAAGAACGCGTGGGGGGGCCACGGGGCCAGCTAGCGTGGGCCACGGGGCCGTCTAACGAAAAATATAGTTTGACACACGCTACACCGGACAAGTCCTCTGCACCGACCTTCGCCCGTGCTCGACAAAGTTGTCGTCGACGTTGACCGAAGTGGTGGCTCTCTGGATGATTGCTTCTGCGACGAAGTCGACCCCTGACCGGTGACATGCGAGGCTTGCGCACGTCGGCGTCGACACGATCAAGAGTTCGGCGAAGCATGAAGTCGCAACCGGCCTCGACATCAAGTCGTCGACAGGAGCTGATCTACCGTGTGTCTCGTGCGTCAGAGGGAAGCTGGCGCGGCACACCTTCCCCGACAAGGTCTCGGATGCCAAGGAAGCGCTGGTCGTCGTGCATATTGACTTGTGCGGGCCATTCTGGGTGGCTGGCAAGGATAGTAGCATGTACTTCCTGCTGCTGAAGGATCGCCACACTCGGTTCGTGCGGATGGTGCCGGTCGCTAAGAAGAGCGATAACGAGAGTTCGAGAAGTGGCTGGTGCTGGTGAAACGGCAGACAAAGAAGTTGGTGTTGATGCTCCGCTCAGACCAGGGAGGGGAGTTCCTTGGGACGGAGTTCACCAAATTCGTCGACAAGAAGGGCATCGTCCACACCCTAACGTGCTCTTACACTCCGCAGCAGAACGGCATGGCTGAGTGGGAGATGCGCACGGTCGTCGAGTCCGTGCGGACAATGCTGCTGCACATGGGCGTGCAGCATCACTGGTGGCACCTCGCCCTACTACAGGCCGTCTGGGTGCGCAACTGCTTGGAGCGGTCGACGACGCCGCCGAGGACGACGCCGCACCAGCTGTTGACTGGGAAGAAGCCAGACCTCACGCTGGCGCGAGTGTGGGGCTCCATGGTGCAGTTCATAGTTCCCGAGCAGCAGCGTGGTGGGAAGTTGGCGCTGAAGGCTCGCTCGGGGCTTCACCTGGGTGTGTCGCCGGAGAGCAAGGGCTGGGAAGTGCTGGACTTGACCGACAACAAGGTAGTTACGTCGGGCGAGGTGATCTTCTACGAGACGCTGTCGCTGGAGGTGTGGAAGGCAAAGTATGGGCGGTCGTCGGGGCGGACGCAGGCGCACCCGCCGATGGACACCTCGACGGTGACGTTCCCACTGCTCGCCGAGGTCGATGAGCCTACTGATGAGGACGTTGAGGAAGTCCTCCCTCCGCCCCCTGTTCTTGCTCCTCCCCACCCCATCGCAGATCGGCCTGCATCGACACCTGTGTCGGCCACCGGCGATGAGGGGAGCCTTGAGGCGTTGCCTGTGGCGCCGGCCAGTGGCATCGCCAGCGGCCGACAAAGCGCCAAGCTCGTTGACAAGGATGTGAAGCCGTCGATGACAAAGGAGCAGTCGACAGGGGAGCCGGTCAAATAAGAGGCAGCAGCAAGGGTGCAGTCGACAGGGGAGCAGCAGACGGGACAGTCGATAGGGGAGCTGTCAACAAAAGCGAGGTCGACAAGAGGGCCGACGAGAGGGGAGCAGCCGGTGGAAGGTCCAAAGCTGGCGAAGCAGCTTGTTAATGACGAGGGTGTCGATGACGAAGGGGAGCTGTTGGCAGGAGAGGAGTCCACCGACAGTGACGTGGTGGAAGTGCCAATCGAGACGCCTGAGTTGCAAATCTCAGGACCAGAGCTGCGATGCTCATGTCGAACTCGGAGGCCACCAAAGTGGCTGAGCTACCACGCCTGTCTGCCACCGGCTTCCTTCACCATGGTGTACAACGACGTCGATTATGACCTGCTGT